AACCTATTATTGTTATAAATAACACATTCAATTGAACTAAACTATGCATGTCTATTTAAATATATTTACACGTGGCTTGTGTATATCGTATATATACATCTATATTATTCATACCTTCGGTGTATAGGACGCAAGCAGATTTTGACATCAAATTTTGGGGTAAAAAAGTGCGTCTTATACACCGAAAAATACTGTAATAACATTTTAACAATAAAGATTTTTGCTCAACACCAGATCTCATAATATCAACTGAGTTACAATTTCAATATCACTGATATGGCTACTGGTGAACTTTCTACAAAACTATATTCCAGGATTCAGTACACCTATAAAGTAAATATACGCCACCCCATCCCACCGTAACTTTTGTAACTTACAGCATAACTAATTAATAAGTGTTGTAAACGCTTTGCTACATTACTATATTTATAAGTTGGTAAAAAAACATTTTTCCTGCCTGTACTCACTACTATTTTTAAAATCATTTGCTATTACTCATTACAAGCTGAGAATTTAACCCTGGATATCACCCTATTAATGTCCCTATAGCGCAGTGGATAGCGCGTTGGATTTCTAATCCAAAGGTATCGGGTTCGTTCTCCGGCAGGGATGTCACCACCATTGCCTGGTCACAAGTCCAGGATGAAAAAGGACTTTACTCCGCCCCGTAAAAATCAACCTGCTAAATAAATTACTGCAACAACAACTTCCGTCGGCGAGGTGTTGTTGGGGCCCTATGCTCTAGTGGGAGTCGACAGGGATTATTATATTATTATCACCCTATTAATGAATCATGCTTCACCAACATAGGCGTTTTACTAGAAGGAAAACTGTTTGATTAGCAACATTTTAGAAATATGTTCACTTTAACTTATGCTAATATGATGCTATATCTTAACTGAGCTAATTAATTTCATTTTTTTATTTATGACAAAGCTACTAAAGCTATATGCCACTGTCTCTAATTTTGAACTACTGACCAGAGGGAAGTTAATTATTGAACAATACCCCACCACCCACCATTCACGCTAAGGTATTGACTGTCACTCTTATAAAACACACACAGCTTAATGTGCGAGAAAATTTTGTGATGTGGTATCGCACGAATTTCAACCCAGCTCGCCTGCTCCGAAATCCAATGCTCTACCACAGATAGAACCTGTGCCTTTAATTATCAGAATATCTTGAAATTTACAGTATTTAACATATAAACCATCTCGTAGATTATGTCTAACCAGTTACTGAACATACGTAAAGACTCTTAACTATCTCGAGTAAGCTCATTAATTTATCAATACAGCACAATTATTAACATTACATATTATGGAAAACCTTCCCATTATTTTAGAGCAATATGCATAAAAAATATGAGAAATAACATCAAATTAATTTACATAGAGATAGGTATGCAGGAGTAAGCCATTTCATTCTAATTAGCTTAACGATAGTAGTGTATACTGTTACTTTAATGTTTAAATACATACTTTAGTGTTATGTTTAAAATACTACGACTATACCATTAAGTCACATTTACGAAGTAGCTGTAGGCCTACACCCGAGTGACTAGCTCAAATAGAACTTTGATCCACAACCGCGAATAAGAATCCTGGGTTTATAACACGGAATAATGTTTAAATACATACTTTGGTGTTATGTTTAAAATACTACGACTATACCTTTAAGTCACATTTACGAAGTAGCTGTAGGCCTACACCCGAGTGACTAGCTCAAATAGAACTTTGATCCACAACCGCGAATAAGAATCGTGGAATTATAACACGGAATAATTATTAAGAGGAAAAAATTTAAAAACCAAGGTTTTGTCGTCAAGGCTGTTCTCGGTGGCTTCTTCGACAATTTACCTTTTTTCAAAAACATTTTTTGGTGTTGAAGACCAGTTGTTTCAGTAACTCTTTCGACTTACGCTGTATGTAATTTATGTTTTGCAAAGAAGGAGTAGCATTTGTATACAGTATTAGAAATAATATTAGACACGGTAAGGAAAAAGGGTATAAAAGGCGTACTAAGAGAATGAGACACTTTTACCCACTGAAAATGAACTATACCAGAGTGAAGTCACGTGTTGATAGTTTATACTATAAATGGTTGCAATCCAACCAATCAGAAAGTGGCACGCCAGTATAAAGCATGTAAAAGTACAGGCAGTCATACTGTTCCCAGAAGTAGGAATGTGATTCCATTCATGACTCCCAGCGCTAAACTATCCCATGGTAAGCGTGTAGAAATCAAAGTTATGGCTAGTCAAGGATACTCCATGCGACAAAACTTTATATTTTAGTAGAAGCTATATGCATGGCTCTAAAGAAGGTATTTGATACTAGCACTGTCAATAATAGGAGTGGAAGAGGTTGAAAACCGAGACTCCAAAAATGATGTTAAATATTTGTGGGTATGTTCTTTATGAGACAGTAAGGTAAACAGATGTGAAATGAGAATTGGTTGGAGACCTACACTCTTTATAGATGAATCCCACTTGAAATTGTTCATTAAAAATAAACGACAGTTTGTTTAATGTACAACATCTACAGTAAAGCAGGGTAGGGTATCAGTACACGTTTGTTGTCGATGATCTACACAGAATTGATAACACCCTAACTCTGACTGGTGACAAGTGCATTTAGATTCTGATACATCATTCCATTCTCTAAGGAACATGACTCATTAGTCAGAGATTTATCTTACAGCAAGACACAGACCCCAAGCATACAGTATATGTGATAAAACGATGTTTTGGTGGTAAAGAGGCCGATGGAACACTTACAGCCATGGCTTGTCCTGCACAAAGTTCAGACATAAACATTCTTGAGACTGTATGGACCTATATAGAAATCTCGAAGGTCAAATGATGACCAAACAACTTGGTTGAGTTAGTACAGGGCATTTGGAAGAATATTCAACAATCGTACTTTGATAAACTGTATGGCAGCATAAAAACAAGGCACAATGCTACGTGTACAGCAAATGGCTCATATACAAAATACAAGTGTATTTTATATCTTATTCGCCTTTCTTTTGTATTTTCTGTGATAGTATTTTGTACTATTAATAACTTCATCACCTAGTTGCCATTACTCGATGTTTGTGATTCCTGTATGTGTGTCACTTATATGTTCCATGATTATTTCCATTAATATATATATACAAACACATGTATATATGTACGAATATTTGTCTTATTAATAGTTGTTTTTATCATATAATAACCAATCATATTAATTTTATTATAAGTATTGATATCTATATCACACTAACAATGATATCAATATACACACCCATATATGCACACATATATATATATATTTCAGTTTTCGAATTCCTGGAAAACTTCACAGGTAAGATGAATACGAACATAAGACTGAAATATTTGAGTCAAACTGTTAATTGCAAAGTGATGAAATTTCCTTGATTATGAAACGCCATCACAAGCAAAATAGTTAGATTAATTATTTCTAATAAAACGGGTCTCCTTAAATAATGTTAAAACAATAAATTGCCTAGAAATTTGTGTAAGTTTTTTGGGGGCTAATAAGCCTTTTCTGAAACTTCTACTATTAGATGTATGGGGTTATATCAAAATCGACTGAACAAAAATGTTTATAAATTGCGATTGTTTTAACAGCGCCACCTTATGGTCAGGGAATATAATTACGATTTCTATTTTAATTTGTTCTATTGCAAATGAGGTTTATGTGCTTGTTTGTTTAGCTGGATTTCGCGCAAACAACACCAAGGCTACCTACACTAGCCGTCCCTAATTGTGAAGAGATAGAGAGAAGGCAACTGATTAACGCCGTCCATCGCACACTCTTGGAATATACTTGTCAGAATGGGATTTTACCGTCACTCTTATAACACTCCCACAACCTCAAAGTACGAAGCGCGATTTTTCAGTGGAAACTGGACTCACACCATGAAACCTCATCGCTAAAGTCCGACACGCTAAACACTTGGTCGCGCTCAGCCAAGTGTCATGTGTCAATTATGTGCTTGTGACATAGCATGAAATTTTGAATTATAATTTAAAACATGGAGTCCTAAAATAATTACTTTTACTTTAAGAATTTTTGAGGATTAAATAACCTATAATTAGATTTATTGTTATTTACTTATTTATTTTGGTCCTTACTACACTTGTTTATGATGATATTTAAGCTAAAATTACGCTTTACACCAAATCATTGAATACGAATAATCTAATGTCTAATGATCAATTGGATACTAATCCCTGTATTCTCTGCCATAGCTTAGCATAACCTAGGACGACTTCAATCCGAAAGTAAGTAAATGACTGAGCCTAAGTTTCTAAGTATATTTTTTGTCGGTTTCTATTATATCAGTTACTAGTTTAGTAACATTCGAACGTATCTAATGCACTGTTTAATGACGTAAAGGTTTATTGAAGTTAAACGTATATTTGAAATTTAAACGTAAAGACTACTTTTATAACTGTGTATTATACTAAGAAAGAGTGTTTTAAATATATTTTAGCTTTTAATTAACCAGCAATGTTTGTTATAAAATAATGATTCGTATTCTTGTGAAATGTCATTAATTTTCCTTTTTATTTTTTCATCTCTTCATTTCAATTGTTAAACGGATTTGGAATATTCACATTTTCTCATCTTCTAATTTTCAGTGACATTCTAAAGACATCGCTGGATTGATACTATATTTGTGTTGGCACTGTATTCATATTACTGAATAGATACTAAATGTTTGTAACAATATATTAATAAATACGCTGGGTTGACACTATTTTCTTGTCATCGTACTGATATCGCTGGACTGATATTAGTATTGCCATTCTATTCATATCACTGGAGTGATACTAATTTGTGACAATGTACAAGTTTTGTTGGTTTGTAGTTAAGCAACTATGCAATGGCTATCTGTGCTGCGTTCACCACGGGTATCAAAGCCCGGTTTTTAGCGCTATAAGCCTTAAGACTCACCACTGTGTCATTGTACAGATAAGACTGGATTGACATTAGGTTTTTGTGACAGTGTATAGATGGAGCTAAATTATTTGTGTGTTTGAAGTTAAGCAAAAAGCTACACAATGGACTATCTGTGCTCTGCCCACCACGGGTATCGAAACCCGGTTTCTAGCGTTGTAAGTCTGCAGACATACTGCTGTGCCACTGGGGGGCGGAGCTAAATTGACACTTTGTTTTGTCATCCTATTCATATCACTAGACTGACACTAGGTTTTGTTGGCATTGACACTAGTATTTGTGACACTGGTGATCACGCAGTTTTGTTGTTTCAATATGGTTTAATTTTATTTATGTGTATTCGTTCGGCTAATTATTCGTTTTAAACATTATATATTTAGTGGTCTTGGACGTGCTTTCTTCTCTGAAAGAAACACATGAAAAATCAATAGAGCCCACTTCTTTATCCACCGATACATTGGAGCCAAGATGTCGGTTTCGTCTCTACGTCAAGGGTCTGAAGTTTCCTTCTCACATTCCTATTTTTTTATCTAAAAAATGCTTGCCTACTTCGCCATTATTCGTTAAGCTATTGTGAATTAATGCTCTCAAAGAAAAGATAACTTTCTAAAGTGTAACTAAAATTCTTTGTTTGCTTCTTGTCTATAGTTATTGGATAAAATATAGAAAAAAAATTGTAATGAAATGTTATACCCAATGTTACTAGCTTCGTCCTCTGGAAAAAAGTATAACACATTGAATGTTTTTAGCCCGAATCAACTTTTATAGGCCATATTTAAATTAATTTTTGTTACTGTCGTAACTGTGTTGAAACATGCTGGTTGAAACCTGTTCTGTTTGGTTTAGGAAGTCGTTTTATTGATCAATTCAAATGCGATTGAAATTTAACTAACCTGCTAATGAAGTAAGTTATTTTTTATACATGTTTAATTTTTGGAATAAGATATATACACAAATTTTCATTGGGTTTTTATTTATAAGTTTAATATAATTGTAAATGTATTTTTGCCTTAAGTACCAACAGATGAGATTTTTCACACAAATGTTTACAACCTAAGTAATTTTTTCTAACAGAAAATTTCACCATTTTTTACTTTCAAATTTTATTACGCTGTAGCAGCATTTATTTAATATTCAGGTTGCTTATCACCATTAAACCCACCTATCCCTAGGTGTCACGTGATCATAGATACTTCTTTCGGTTTAAGTTACGTAGTATGACTATCCTACCCGTCCAAACCAAATCAACACTTTCACTTCACGAGGAGTCACAATGTAGGAAATTCTTAAAATATTAAAAGACTAAGTCCTGACATATTAGATTGGGGGTGAGTAGAACTCTCCAATCCATGATCACATTTAAGTAGGCTACCTATTTCAAAATACGGATAGTAATCACAAACAAGTATAAGTTACAATCTCATCACAAACACGTGTAAGCTACAATCTAATCACACACAAGTGTAAGTTACAATCTAATTACAAACAAGTGTAAGCTGAAATCTAATCACAAACACGTGCAAGCTACATTCTAATCACAAACACGTGTAAGCTACAATCTAATCACAAACAAGTGTAAGCTGCAATCTAATCACAAACACGTTTAAGCTACAATGTGATCACAAACACGTTTAAGTTACAATCTAATCACAAACACGTTTAAGCTACAATCTAATCACAAACACGTGTAACCTACAATCTAATCACACACAAGTGTAACCTACAATCTAATCACACACAAGTGTAAGTTACAATCTAATCACACACAAGTGTAAGTTACAATCTAATCACAAACACGTGTAAACTACAATCTAATCACAAACAAGTGTAAGATACAATCTAATCACAAACAAGTGTAAGATACAATCTAATCACACACAAGTGTAAGTTACAATCTAATCACAAACACGTGTAACCTACAATCTAATTACAAACAAGTGTAAGCTACAATCTAATCACACACAAGTGTAAGTTACAATCTAATTACAAACAAATATAAGCTACAATCAGCCATCGACGGGTTTTAACAGGATATAAAGTTTGTATGAGATAAATTGCTACATCCGTAACCTAACGAGCACCGTATTACTATTTCACTAGGTCAATAAATCAAGTATCTTTAACAAACGACTCTCTGCTTGCAACGCTGTTCTGATCACCGACGTCTAAATTTGTTTATTTTTTTTTGGAGAAACTTATCAGAAGTTCCATAGCAGAAGAAAAGAAAAAGACTTAGAAATATATGAAGTATTTTTGGTCAATGTTACATCATTTTTGTATCGATATTATATATATATATATATGTGTGTGTATTTTTATTTTTAAATGACGCATTGCAGGGATGCAATGTTGAGTCTGGGTATTGAGAACAAATCTTTTAAATCAATACATAAAAATTAATTACGTTTTCTAATGAGACACAATAAATGATTATAATTCCTAGATGATAATTAGTACGTTGTCATGATCTTTAATTCTTTTTCGATACTTGTTCGTAATTAATGGTGGTTAATGACTGTCTTGTTTATTCACATTTAGTTTTAAACACAAGTAAAATTAATTATTTAGAGCCTGTAGGTTTTACATAGAGTAAAAAAACATTGTTCTACACCACATGTGTTAGCATGAATAATATACTGTGAAAAACCGGTTTAAATGTGTTTCTGAACTTCTTATTGAATTCCTCTAATTTTTTAAAACTTTAGTTAATAGATTTATTGTTGCATAAATTAAAAATCCCTGTATATTATTGAAGGAATAAAATCACTGATGGACTTTTCTGGTGTCATTATCTTCTTGAAGTCTGTTAATAATGTTTCTATGCACATAAACTTCCAGTCTGGTCATATTAAAAGGTCTTATAACTACAATATAATCATTTGCATGCTAATTATATTAGACGCGAATTTTGAAAAATTGACATTTGCAGTCAATAATATTAAATACATAATGAGTAAGAAATATACATTTTCGTAAAATTAAGGTAATATCTACTTGCCATAAAAACCATACGTTTTGCCTAAATAAGATTTTCTAAATTTAAGTAATTCAACATTTGATCTTGAACGTGTTGATTTCGTTCTTAGAGAATACGCAGTTTTTGATACTGAACGTAAACCATTGCTAGTCTCGTTATATGCAGACTTACAATGTACAAGAAATATGTGTTCAATCCTAGCTTAGGAGTCACCAACAGCACATAAAGAAACCTCATTATATAGAAATACATGAATTATTTTGTGAACTGAGAATTGTTTTCAAATCAGGTAAACGTTTACAAACTACGAAAACAAGATGAGATCAAGACACACGGTATTGTGTGTCGTGTGGCCAAGAAAAAAATACTTAGACATGCGGCACACAGTGTGTTATTTACAGGAACCAATGAATTGCGATTATCAGCTATCTGTAAGTTAGTACTTGAATTTTTCACCTGTATTACCTCCCAGTTTGCTTATTTCACGTTCCAAATTTCAAGAACATCCGAGCGGCTCAAACTGAGATACACAATACCAAAGTTCAACTGATTTTCTTCGTCGTCTTCTAAGCATGGCCAGGTGGTTAGGGCACTCGATTCGCAATCTGAGGGTCGCGGGTTCGAATACCCGGCACACCAAACATACTCGCCCTTTCAGCCGTGGGGGCGTTATAATGTGACGGTCGATCCCACTATTCGTTGTTAAAAGAGTAGCCCAAGAGTTGGCGGTGGGTGGTGATGACTAGCTGCCTCCCCTCTAGTCTTACACTGCTAAATTAGGGACGGCTAGCGCAGAAAGCTCTCGTGCAGATTTGCGCGAAATTCAAAACAAACCAAAACTATTCTTCTAAGCACCAAATTGTACGGAATTTTTAAAAATTGAAAAAATATACTTCACAAACTTCGATTTCTATTAAATTTGGAACACATTTAACATACCATTTACTTTACGTCTGTACAAAATTTCGCGCAAACCGAACACAAATTTAGTTGTTACAGTGAAAAAAAAAGGTAATTTTTGGAGGATCATTTTTACTCAGATCCGCAAGTCAAATAGTAAATGAAATCGTCATGAAATTATTTACAGGAATTTCCCTGATCTCAACTTAAAAATCGGCTGTCATTCAGTTTTTATCGGATCTCAATTGACTTGGGTGTCCAGGCCTACAACAACAAAGGATATATACATCTTGTTTAACATGTGATAGTTTGCATATATGTAAGTATCAATATAATATTGTACTATGCCACTTTGAAAATATTCTTTACATTTCACAGCTTCTCTCCACGGTGGACATTCAACTGATATATAGGCCAAATGCTGCATAACATGATAAATCCATGTATGTAACAGTGTGTACAATCCATGCATCTAAAGATCACACTTGTATGTATGTTTTTTTATGCTTCGTTGATCACAAAAAGGTGTGATGGTATCCCTCATAACCACTTTTTATTCTGCTTTTTAAAAGATAGTGATATTTAAGCCAAAAACAGCCAAGCGGGCAGTCAAACCAGTGCAGTAATGCTGTTGAATAATGACAGTTCAGGTAAAAACTGTGTTACAGACTTCTAAGTGAAACATTGCTGCCAATTTTCATTTCACATCTTTTATTCGCCGTCTTTTTTTTTACCGCTGGGCTGTTTTTGGTTTAGATAAACAAAATATCAAAATTTCATTTTAATTCACTAACTATAAGTGATATGCTTTACCATAAGTATTTTTGGAATTACAAGTACATTCTTCTTTTAATTTTTTCTTAACCTTCTCCAAAAATTTGTGTATAACCCTTATACCTTTCAATTTTAATGCAACGTTATGTGTAAAACAGATGCAAAGTACTGTTACTACTTTGAACAAATAGCGTTATTTAAACATTTGTTTAACAACAAGTAACAGCTTGGAATGATCTATTCTTTCATTGGAGTTTCGGAGAATTCCACTCCTCATCAGTGACTCTGGACACTACTACAACCAATGAAATATCAGACCAAACCAAGCCTTTATAGTAGTGAGGTATCGAAAATCGAACTGATGTATTTAAGTGTTTAACACTCACAAAAAAAGAAACCTATCATTCTATACATATAGATAAATAGAATGAAAGATTTCTTTTTTGTGAGTGTAAAACACTTAAATAGACTAGTTCGACTGTTACTATTTGTTGCTCTAGAGGGTGTCCGAAAAGTCTGGAACTATAGGTGGTTTGCAGCTTTTTTTAGTTTCAGATACATGACTGTCAAATGGTGCTATCAAAGCATGAGAAGGACCTGATATTAATCCAAACTTGTTTCGAATTACAAGAACAGCACGTGGAATACATTCTGTAACATTCGTTTGAAGTGTCTATGGTTTTTATAGTTTTCGGACACCATGTATAGGGCGTTTGGAGTTGTATATAGTTAGGTTTGCAATAACTTGTGTCGTTACTTATACTTACACGTTGTCCTATAGGGCTATGGGAGTTATATATAGTTAGATTTGTAATAGCCCGTGTCGCTACTTTTACTTATATGTTGTTCTATAGGGTTTTGGGACTTATACATAGTTAGAGTTAGGTTTGTAATACTTTGTGTCGCTACTTTTACTTACACGTTATTTTGTAGGGCGTTGGGAGTTATATATAGTTAGGTTTGTTCTAAAGGGTATTAGGATTTATACATAGTTAGGTATGTAATACCTTGTGTCGCTACTTATATTTACAAGTTGTTCTATAGGGCGTTGAAAGTTATATATAGTTAGGTTTGTAATACCCTGCGTCGTTACTTTTACTTACACGTCGTTCTGTAGAGCGTTGTGAGTTACATATATAGTTACATTTGCTAGTTCTTGTTTCATACATTTTAAGAAGTGTACAGATGACTTTAACTACATAATGTTGTTTAGGTTTGTTACGAATTTCGCGCAAAGCTACACGAGGGCTATCTGCGCTAGCCGTCCATAATTTAACAGTGTAAGACTAGAGGGAAGGCAGCTAGTCCTCACCATCCACCTCAAAACTTGGGCTACTCGTTTACCAACGAAAACCGTCACATTATAACGCTCCCACGGCTGAAAGGGCGAGCATGTTTGGTGTGACGGGGATTCGAACCTGCGACCCACAGATTGCGAGTCGAGCGCCCTAACCACCTGGTTATGCTTCAAAATCCATTAATTTCTATTTCAGTTGATATTTCTAATATATCTGGTTTTATCTTTTACTTTAAAGAGAAATATTATATAGTACTAGATGATACTTTCTCTTCTATATTAAATAACTGTTGTGACTCACGCTATAAGCTGAATTAATGCATAAAAATAGTAGGTTATATGTTACAAATATTACTTGGATCATTTTCACTCTTTAAACTATTCATATTATAAAATCCCAAGTTTCCATAACTTCGAAGTAAAACAAGCTGTTGGTTAGAAAAAAATAGAAGTTGAAAACACCAACTCTGGTAATAACACGTAAATGTTGACTTTAAAGTACTCGATTTTCTCCTAGTTAAGGTATTTGTATTTTCAACCGGAACGCCACCATATGTGACATATAGACTGAACATCCAGGTCGAAGACATAAAACTGAACCTAATTTAGAATTACTGACCAGAAGAAGGACAATAAAAAGCACCTTCCACCTACATGGCTACTCTTAACCTAAAAGCGGAATTGACTTATATATATATATATAGAGCTCACAGCTGAAAGCGCTGACCATATTCAGTAGCTTGTGGGCTCGAACCTTAGACCTTTTGATCAACAGGGCGGATGATTTTGAAACCTTAAAGATATTACCCCAGCGTCATAGACTGGGTTGGTTAACATTAGATGTGGCATGAGTACAAACTAAATTACATTGATTCCACTAAGGAAATACAGATAAACATTTTTTTATTTCGAACCATGTTTTTTTTTTTTTCAGATGCTAATTAAACGACATTTTGCTGAAAGGTGTTTCATATTATAGTTTACTCCCAGTGAAAAACTTTGAGAAATTGTGCAGGCTTTATAAGTAATGATATCCCTAAAATAAGTGTGTCTAAGAATTCAGATAACTGTGACTTTTTATTTTTTTCATATTGATATAGTTTCTTTAGATTATTGAGCACTTTGTCTTTAAACGTGAATGAACTTTGGAAATGTAACGTTTAAGAAACACAATCGAGCATAACGCGTACTTCTTTATAGAAGTATGATGTAATAAGCTGCAGACACTGATCGATGGTTATGTTACACGCATTGTTTGTCTGTTGGATTTCATGCGGAGCTACACAAGGGCTCTCTGCGTTAGCCGGCCCGAATTTTGAAGTGATAGACTAGAGCAGGGCTGGCGAACCTTTTTGAGAGCGTGTGCCCAAATTGTCGGTACTTTTCGGAAAACGTCTTTCGCGTGCCCATGGAAATTTTGAGCAGCAAAATTACTGTTATTATTATTAATTTTAGGTAATTTTATATTTTATATATAATTATTATATTATATAATTAATTAATTATAGACATATACAATCTCTACGCCTTGAGATATGAATATATATATATATATATTGGTCGGGTAAAAAAATACTTGGGACAGCAGTGAATTCCGCGGACTTACAATGCTAGAAACCGGGTTTCAATACTCGTGGTGGGCAGAGCACAGATAACCCATTGTGTAGTTTTGTTTCCCAATCTGTATTACATATAATATTTTGGTAAATAACTTAATATTATTCATAACTTATACACGTCTTTCTATTGTTTATGTACTTTATCAAGAAAAACGAGTAACTTGTCTCTAGCTGTCGAGCTATATTTTACGAGGGTAAATGTGTAAACTATATACTTCTTAAAGCAAGTACACAACATGCACGTGTGTGTGTATTGCACATAAATATATTTCAATACGGCACTTTAAAATAAAATATTTGAATACTACGAAACACAAGTTTATTTTCGTCATAAATAAATATATATATATACAACATGGTATCACAACCATTGTACTACTTAAACGAGCATTAGGACTAGCTTACTTTCTCGTTGGATGAGAGAACCATATATATGAGCTGCGTCGTTTTGTACAGTTAAGACTTAAACACTTATTTCGATACAACTTTATAGTACGTTTCGAATTGTTTTTCAAGCATATAATCGTTGTCACTGGTAACTTTAAAAACTTAACAATTAAGTACACGATCACCTTACAACAGTGTCTCTTAATCAACTGCAATTAATTCTTCCTGAAAGAAACTTTAAAATTTAAGACTATTGTTACGTAAGCACTGTTCGTTTTGGACGTTAAATACTGGATTAACACAGGTAAAGCACTGGTATTAAAACTAAATCCTTACATTCATATTAAATCACACACTGTAGAAAAAAAAGACGTTAAAGAGACTTATTATCATAAGGGATCGATTACACATTGCAGGGATGTTATGCGTGTGAAATGTTTGCCTCAATTAGGCTTAAAACCATGTTTTTTCTTTGTTTTTTAATAATCTGCCTGCATGAACAGAAACCAAAAAGTGTTCCTTTAGTTGTTTGCACAATGATAACAATACGCCGACAGCATGCTAGTAGTACTTTGGGAAGGAATTTTCAGCAAATCAACAATCTAACCTATGTAAAAGCCAGTATGTGTCACGTCACGCTTGATTTTTCGAAATAGGAGTCATAACAGCCAAAATGTATTTATCCAGATAGAATAATTCGATTACTGTCTGCCCATTATGATTTTAGCGACGGGGATGCAAGGGGGCCGTGAGGGGTGTGTGTGGTGTGAAACCTTATAAGTGTAGTTGGTTTTGGTATATTAACCCGAAATTAAAGACGTAATGTGGGATCACCTAGCCTAAAGCCAACTGCATAAAATTTAGTAAGAAAGTAAAAATGTTGATTCAATTTAAAATTTAAATCATTTCTGCATTAAGCTATTTTCTGTTATATCACTAACGTTTTTAATGATAAACAAACCTCTTTAATCAACGGAGACTCTAAATTAAGAAACGAACAAATATGTATCTAGTTTTGTTATCTATACATTTCAGTACATATAAAACTGTGTAGGCCCGACACTTCAATGTGCACAACCATACCCTTGGCTAGTTTAAAAGTTTTGTTTTGAAGAAGGCCCTCACAAACAAACATAACCGCGAAGTACAATAAAACAAAATAATTTTTGACCTGGGAACTTTCCACCCCGATGGGCTAAATGAACGTTTTAGCTTTTTGTAATATTTCCCGTTTTATCTTTTCTTAAAAAGTTTTATACAGTAAATTATGTATTCTTTTTAAACTATAATGCATATATATTCATATATGTATATGTTTGCGTGCGTGTGCACACGTGTGTTTGTATAAGTGTATATCTATACGTGTGTATATATATATATATATATATATATATATAC